CCATTTTGAAACAAAGCCTATAAGCTAGTTATTAGTATGCTCACTTTATAGTTGAAACAGTTGAGACACAGAAAGTTGAGTATCTTGTCCAGGTTCATACTGTTAAGTAAGGGGTGGGGGCTAAGGTTTGGTAATGAACCTGCTTACCTCTATTGTTCATTTTATGCTGACATCATTGAAGAAATGGATACCAATTAGAAACAGTCCCTCTCTTTTGCTTTTCTGCTTCTTTGCCAGTATTGTACATTCTAAAAGCTGGGTGTTTTGTTTTGTCTTTCCTCATTGATTTAGCTGTTCTTTACCTGTGCTGGGTGCAGGACAATAGCAGTTTGTTTTGTTTTAAAAGGAGTTTCTGAACCTGTGGGTGAAGAGCTAATCCATGGGATGTCCTGGGTTTTCTAAATTTAAATAAAAATTCTTTAATGTTAAAATAGCTTTTAATAGTCACAAGTAACTTTGTGTGTCTAATACCAGGTACACACTGAGGAATTTATCAGCGACTTTATAGCAGTACAGTCCTTTTTTTTTTTTTTTAATAATAGGCCTTCAGAATGCAGTGAAAGAAAAATCTACCTTTCCATAAAAGCAGTAAAAATGCTGACAAAGATAGTCAGAATCAACATTTTCAGAACTCTTAAGATGAGCCAGTGGCTTCTAGCAGTCTGAAGAGTGTTTATTTCAGTGAGGCTGCTGCATCTCATTAAGAACAGCAGGGTTTGTAGCATTGTAACTTGAACTATTTCGTCTCCCTCCACTTAGTTCTGCAGTAGCCTTGAAAACTAGCAGTCTTGAAAACTTGATCCTTGTAAAAACGAAGAGTTTGGCCACTGCTAGACAAAACTGACCTGATTTGAAAAGCCTGAGAAAGTCCCATTCTCAGACCATTGTCCCTGTTTGACCTGCCTCACGTTCTCTAGAAAATCTCCCCTTATTGGGCAGTGTTGTTATTTTGCCTGACTTGGATCGAGAGAAGAGTTGGGGAACAAGATATCCATAAGGAGCATTGGAAAACTCTGACTTATTCCAAGGCACTGGAGGGATGTGTGAATATGCGGGGATGGGTACATGCCCAGGAAAAACCTGAGAAGCCCTCAGTCTCTTACTGCCCACTGCCTTTGAGTAAGTGGGAAAACAGTTAAAAGAGCTAAGGCAGAAGTTTAAACAGCCTAAGGGCTGAGGGCATGCCCCAGTGTATGTTTGGCACCATGGTTGAAAATCATTTCCTACTATTGTCATTCATGTAGAAGCTAAAAAAAAGTTGATCTCTTAGAAGTAAAATAGAGCCAGTTGTGGTGGCCCATGCCTGTAATCCCAGGACTCTGGGAGACTGAGGTTGGAGAATTGCCATGTTTGAGCCACCCTTGTCAATTCAGTGAGACCCTGTCTCAAAAAAAGGGAGAGGAGCAATTAATTGAGTTGTAGCTAAAACATGAAGGCCCCAGGTTCAATCTCATACCGAAAAATAAACAGAATAGAATCATTATTGGCAGTTGATGGGGTAAAAAAAATTATAAATACATGAGATAAATATGTTCGGTAGCACAATAGAGCAGTTAAGAATTTACATATTTCAAAATATAGCAGCTGGAAGAGATGTGTTTGAGGTGGTAGTTATACTAATCATCCTGATTTGATTATCATGCATAGTATGAATGTGTCAAAATATCATATTTTAACCCTATGAATATGTGCAGTTATGTTTTCATTGAAAAAAATCCACCTTTTTGTGGACTAGTTTGAGTACAGGAGCTAAAGACTTAGTTGGTGAGGCAAATGCCTAATTCTCTTGACTCTTTAGCTGTCAAAGCAGAGAACTGAGGCACTGAAGGCTAGGCAGACCTCCTCACCTGTTATATCTTGTACAACAAGGTCTCATGTTTTATGTATTTCTTCTTAGCAGTTGTATTGTGAATGTATTTGCAGTCTACATTTGTGTGGTTATTTTGTCCCATCTTAGCCTGGGTCCACTTGGGCAGGCAGTTTTGGGATTCATAAACTCCATGTCAATAAAAAATTAAAGTTATAAAATTTAAGGAAAGGAAGATATTTAATTGGAGAGAAGGGAAAGGAGAAGAGATAGCTGCCCTGGTAAATCAGAGTATGGGTCTCTGGAAAGATGGAGAATCCGAGGGCCTTTTGTTCTTGGCTGCTTTAATTGGGTCCTAGGGCCCTCCCCCTACCTAGAATTTGTCATAATCTGATTATTGGTTTTTTAGACTGTCATAGATGGATTCCAGGCCCCAATCCCCCTAGCCCCCTGTACATCTTCTATTTGCACACTTTTAAGTGAGCTTTATTTGACTTTCCTTTGTCCTTTTGAGGTCTTAACCTCTAAAATTTATAGAGGGCCAAGTTAGCAATTAAGTAAAGGGGCTAGTGCCCTAATATAGTGTCTGTAGTGTGGGGATGAATATATATGTATAGATAGATAGATAGATAGATAGATAGATAGATAGATATGTATAGATAGACAGACAGACATAGATGTACAGGTATATGTGTTTATATACTGTACTGAATAAGAGCTTTCTTTTAAATGGTCGCCCCTTGTCTCCTTTGTGTTTTATTGAGGGTGAGTGAGGGAGGGGCATGGGCCTTAGTTTCTTAGAACCTGGCTTCCTCTGTGCTACTGCCTGTGGCCTTCCCCTCTTTTTAATTGCTTTGTCTGGGGAAGCTTTAACTCTTTCTAGTCAGAATTAGCCAGAAAGCCCAATGGTCTTTACCCTATTTACAGACTCCTTTTCCCTACAATTTGACTTAGAATCTGTCTCTTCTGTGGAGTTTCTCTAAGCTCTATGTGGGCGGGGCCTGGCTCCATTTTAACTAGTTAACAGTTGATAAATGAATAAGTGAGGTAGATAGGAGACACAAATTCCAAAGTGTGTTCCTTAGTGAAGAGAGGCAAGAGAGACAAAATAACCTGAGCACCGAGTCTCACTTGGATACGTGTGTGTTGAAAGATTGAGTCCAACAGAAAGTTGTCTGTATAATGTGAAGAAGCCTGCTTTTCCCCTACCAAATGACATTTTGGTGTTATCTGCATTTGTAACATTTGGGGTAGCAGATCTGGACAGTTTTTGCTTCATGCATTTCTGAACCTCTGTATATTCTGAATGCATATTTCAGAGAACATTGGTATCTGTAATGCCAATATTTATTTGAAGTTAATAATTTTAAATATTCTTAACATTTTAGCTTAACATTTTAGGACACAGCTCACCCACTGGATTTACTGCTCTTCATGGAAAAAATAAAAACAGTACTTCCCTTAGACAGTTATTAGATATATATTTTTTTACTTTTGGCATTTAAAATTTTAATTATTTTAGACCCTGGAGGAATGGGAAAGCTGAAGTAGAATGTGTAAGGATTACTAGATCCAAAGTTTTCCTTATAAAGAAAAAGAAACAAGCCAGATGTACAGTAATCCCAATACCCGAGAGAGGCCCAGGCAAGAGGATCACCATGAGTTTGAGGCCAGCCTAAACTGCTTAGTGAGACCCTGTCTCAGAAAACAAAAAAGTCAGCAATAATTCATCAAGTTAAAGTTGAAGAGTCTGTTGTTGTATGATAAAGTGGTATATTGCTGACATAGAGTGAGGTCAGTTTTTCTAGGCTTTGAGTTATATGATTTGTGATGTTGGGAAAGTGACAAACAGCCGGGGGTGAGGGGAGAAAACTACAACTTGTCTTAATATTTTATAAAAATGTTTTTAATAGTACTAAACTTTATCCTTCAAACTTTTATCTGGAAGTAAGTTGTAGAAAGAAAAGCCTTAAAAGATTGTTAAAATTGAATCTGCATAATTCCATTTATATAATGTTCTTAAAACGACAGAATTATAGATCAGTAGCAGCCAAGGTTGAGGGTAGCGGATCTGGACAGTTTTTGCTTCATGCATTTCTGAACCTCTGTATTTGGAGCACTAAGTTAGGAATGTTACGTCCACTTAGTTAAGTGACATATCTGTCATTGTAAAATGGCCTGGTAATTTTTATCTCTGATAATAGTCTTTGTTATTAATAGAGCTGCTTAGTCTTTTCTTTGTTCAGTGTTCCCATGATAAACACAATATATCTTCTTTTACTTTTTATTCTACCATATCTTTATATCTAAAAATGTGTTTCTTAAAGGTAGTATATAGTTTTTATTTTGCATTTATATCCAATTTGACAATTTTTTTATTTGTTGGGATGTTTAGGCCATTAACACTGAGTGGCATTATTGATGCAGTTTGGATTGCTATTTACTATTTTTTCAGCTGTTCGTTGTGCCTCTTTTATTCTTTCTGTCTACTTTTGTTTGTTTGTTTCTTTCTTTTTGGTACTAGGGATCCAACTCAGGTCCTTGCACTTGTGAGGCAGGCGGTGGAACCACTAAGCTAAATCCCTGGCCTTTCTGTTGTCTACTTTTAAATAAAGTTAGCATTTTTTAATGAATGTTTTTCTTTCCATTGTTGTCTTATTAGTGGCAACAGTTTTTGTTTTGCAATTTTAGTGACTGCCTTACAGTTTATTGTACATATATTTAAATTATCACATCTACCTTCAAGTGATACCACATCACATGGCATATGGTATAAGAAAGTTAGGATTTTTTTTTTTTTTTGGTATTGTGGATCGAGCTCGGGTCCTTGTGCTTGCAAGGTAGGCGGCAGAACTACTGAGCTAAATCCCTGGCCCTAGGATAATTTCCTTAGATGTCATATATTATAAATTCCTTACTCAAATTATTATATTTAAACATTCAGTAGTATTTAGAGAGATAAGCTTTCAGTGATCTGACTCTAGAACCTGTTTCTCATCATTTCTCAAGGAAGTAAATTATAACTACCTTAAAATCTGACTCTGGCTTACAGAAAAATCATTTACTCAACATAACGTATCTTATAAGGGATAAATGGAGTTAAAATTTTTTTAGGAAAAAGCAGGATAAAATAAGCCAAGTGAGCAACAAAGTAAATGTGTCTTAATTTTACAAATTCACTATTTCTTTTCAGAATATTTAAAAGATGCTTCAAAGAAAATGAAAAATGGCCTTATGTTTATAAAATTGGTAAACCCATGCTCAGGTAAGCTCCCCTCCTCTTTTCTCCCCACCGCCTTTTCCCTCTTCTGATAACTTGAATGTTTTTAAACATCATGGTCAGTGTATATGTAAGTGTCTTCTTTCTGAATAGCTTTTAAAGTTAAAATGGCATCATGAGGTGACAAAAGCAAGCTGATGATATTACTAGCCTTCCAAGATAATTTATTTGACCTAAAATTTTTTAAAGTTTCTTATAATTTTTGATTATGGGGATAAACATGCAGATATTTATAGGCTTCACCCTCTACTCCCCTTTTTAATAAAAGAAAGAAAACGGAAAAATCCATCCAGTTAAGTGAGTCTTTCCTCTCTCCCTATGGTTTGATGTATGTCCTCGCTTTTCTCACTTAAGATAACATATGGGGCAGCAGGGCTTGGCCCTCTTTGGTCTCTGCCTTGGAGACAGGGCCACATTTGCCAGCTCAGACCACCTGGCTGAACTGTTAGGTTTTTGGTAGTAAATAATGGTTTTTCCCTCCCCGTCTGATGCAGTGAGACTCTTAGTAGCAGTTAAGATAAATGACTTGCACTTTTACTTTTTTGGTTTAAATCCAGTGAAGATCACAGAGCTGGAAAATAAGTATCTGTGTATAATAGCCTTAAGCTTTCCTTCGAGTCAGTTTGTATAGAGTATATCTGTGCGTGTTTATGTTCGTTTTAGGAACATTCCTCAGAACTGTTGGATAGTCTTTTGATGTGTATGAGTGTGTGTGAGAAAACTTAGAAATAAAAAATAGATTTGTCTTTCAGGGGAAGGAGCCATTTACTTATTTAATATGTGTCTGAAGCAGCTGTTGGAAATCAAAGTTTTCAAGGAAAAACACCATTCCTGGTTTATAAATGAATCAGTTCAGTCAGGTAAGTGACAAGTGCATATGTTCCCATTAACTAAACACATACTTTGGCTTTCTTGTCCTTCACAGCTAGGGTTATGGGAATACTCACCTGGCATGGAGTGTGGTCAGGGGTGCAGCTCTCTTGGCAGTTGGCAGTAGAGGAGAGTTTAACGAAGGAGAAAGGAAAGATCATTTGAACATTATTTCATTACCTAATTCAGATGGTAGGATATTTTAAAGTCAGGACTCTGATTTGTCTCCTAAAATACCAACACATGCTCAGGCAGAGGTAGGTTGCCTTCTGACCATGGGGACACATTTTGTTAACTAGAAATTCTTTCTTTTGTGGGTCTTCTTTTGTTTTTCTTCTTCAGTTTTTATTTTTTATTAGTACATGTTTACGTAATGATTACATTTCTTTGTGTAGAGTTGGTACGTGTGTATGACACATCTCAATTTTCTGTTTTCCTTCCCTTTCACTTCTCTTCCTCCTCCCTATTTCTAGATCCCCTTCCCATGTTAAAAAAATTTTTTATCTCTCTTCCTATTACCTGTTTCTTATTTTGTTCTTAGTACCTATCATCTTCATGTTTTTAACACATTCCTTGAAACTAGATACTGGTATAGTTTCTAAATAGGTTGCACTATGCCAACGTTTTTAAAATGCTTTGACGTATATAACATATATTTGTGTGTGTGTGTCAAAGTCACACACATATATGCACATATAATAAAAAATATAGGGTGTTTAAAATTTTTAAAAATTTGTTACAATAAAAGACGTATTGGTATTGGCCTCCCTCAAAATATCCCTCACACCTATCCCAAAATTCTTGCTACTTTTTGAAGCAGTTCTGGAAGTCCTTTTTCATGTGGATGTTTTTGTGCTTTTGTGGCTGCTTTTATGTTTTGAATAGATTTAAAATATTTGGCTGTCATGGTCATTTTGACTTTGGGAAAGAGCCAGAAGATACATAGTATCAGCCCTGGTGAAGAAGGTAAAGGAGGATACACTGTAATGTTTCTTTGAGTCCGCCTTTCCTTTGAATGACACTCAGCAGCAACATCTACCGTTTTCTGTGTTTTGTTTGTTTTTGGTCATACTTCATGAAGACATTCACAAAAGAGAACTTTCAGAACTGTTTTCGGAAGTGGCAAGAGTGATGGAATAAGTGTATTTGAAAGAAGGGAGAAGTGTTTTGAGAGGGATGAATGGCAGTATGTCTTTTGCTATAATACGTTTTCTTTTTTAATTCAAGTAATCATCGTGTTTTGATCGCCCTCTTGTAGCACCTCCACACCTCCATATATACATGTACACATACCCTACTGCCTTTACCTATGTGCATGAGAAATTTGAAGCAGTTTTCAGTTGCCTGTGCTGCTAGATAGGAAGTTGTACATGTACCACTGGTAGTTGAAGTTGCCCAGTGGGACAGTCAAGCATGTACACCAGTTGTTCAGGCTGTTAGGAACATGTTAATCAAATCTGTTTTTGATGGTCTTCTTCGGTACCAGCTACCTTTCGTCGTTTTTTTTTCCTTTCTTTAATACACTACTTTTTTTTTTTTCAGTAGTTTTAGGTTCACAGGAAAGATGTCTCCTTTTTTTCCCCACCATTGTCTTTTTTTAAAAGTTAATCGTAAAGAAAGAGCTATTTTGACAACTAGTCATTGGGATATTATTGTTGGACCTAGAAACCTGTTCCTAATTTTTGAACATAGTGGATGCTTCCTATAAAATGAGCTTAGAACTACAGATAGCTTATTTTCATGAACTTCTGTTTCTTTGAAATATTCAACTGTGTCATGATCTAAAATTACTTCCTTAAATTTTTTTTTGCTTACTGTGAACTTTAAGGTCACAACAGAACATTACATTTTACTGTAGCAACTTAATGCAGTTTTCCTCCACAGTGGAAGGGTGGATGAGAGAGGCACTATAAAAAATGATTTAGGAAGAGATAAAGCAAATTTAAAATTAGAGTTTAGTGTCTCCACTCTCCTCCTCAAATAGGCATTTGGAGGTCTTTGAGAGATATTGGTTGATCATGAAATAATCTAGATTAAGTAATCTAAACACTTTATGGACTCTGTGATACGAAGGAAAATGAGAAAATTTCAATTGATAGCATTTCTTGCCAGTAGTTAACCTAAGAGAAAGTACAACAAATGCTTTTTTTTTGAGCGGGGGTTGAGACAGGGCTTCACTTTATAGTTCAAGCTGGCCCCTGAGCTCAACACATAGTCTAGGCTGGCCTCAAATTCAAAGTGACCCTCCTGCCTCAGCCTACCAAGGGCTAGGATTACAGGCGTGCACCACCACACCAGGCAACAAATTCGTATGTATTTTATTGAGTGGATAGATTTCATAGGTGAGAAGTAGCTTCCAAATCTCGGATTGGTATGATTTTTCAATAAACTATTTTCACATTGAGATTAAGATGAAATGGCCAAGTTTTCTCTTAAAACACAATTGTCTGTGTTTTTTAATCTGCAGGAGGTTTCCTTCACTTTGCTACACCCATGGACCCTCTGTTTCTGCTCCTGCATTACCTCATAAAAGCTGGCAAAGAGGTGAGCTTCCTAGTTTGGGGCATTTACACTGAAGGACCAGAATAGACTATTTTGCTTTATTTCTCTTCTTTCCTTTTCATGGTCCAAATACTGATTTCCTCTTTAATTTGGTTATTGTAGGAAGTGTGTGTGGTCTGTGCTGTCCTGGATCAGAGCATCCACACATGTACCAGAGAAACAGTACCATAATCTTTATCCAGTTCAACACTAGCTACTCATGGCTCCCAGATGCCTGTGACTACTGACTGCACTGTCCAGCTCACTATGCTATGCCCCTTGATGGTTGACAAAACCTAACAATGAAAACTTTTATCATGAAGTACTCAGATAGGAAATGTCAGAAAATTGACCACAGGCCTTAGGAAAGAAAGAAAACATTTTCTTAAATTAGGGCATGTCTAGTAAAGGCTCATTAATGAAGAAGCTATAGTTGAGACTTAAGGAATCTCAGAAAGATAAAGTTTACCTTTGTAGTATAAAAACAGAGTTCATAAATAATAATAGTATTAGCCAGAAGTTCTGAGACATAATGGTGTCAGGATGACTTTACACTTAAAATTATTAAAAATTATAAGTACCTCATGTTCCTGTGCGTGTTATCAATATTACTATGTAAGAAATTAAAACTGAGAAATTTTGAATAATAAGACCAGTCATTACATGTTAACAACACATTTTAATGAACTAAACAACAGAATTTAATGATGTGTGCTGCATTGTTTTACCTATTTGCAAATCTGTTGATATCAGGCTTAGTGGATGACCACTCGATTCTCATATCTGGTTTGTGTATCCAGCCTGTTTTCATACATTGTTTTGGTGGAAGTGTATGAAGAATATGTGGCTTCTTCCTAACCAGAAAGGGGAGAAATTATATAATAATCCTTTTGGATAATTATCCTTTGATACTACTTCAGTAATCAACAAGGAGTTGTTTCTTAAAGATAAGTCACTAAGTGGAATCTGAAACTTTGTCAGTGAACTTTCCATGATCTCTTACATTAAAATCTGTTGGTCTGTCTTATATCTATAGTAAATGATTTTTACCCATGTGTGATCTTAATCATAAAATATCAGGCATTGGTCATTTAAAAAATATTTCTCACTGAGTTATACAGATCTTCTTGATGTTAACACATTTCATTTTACACAGACACACAAACACCCCTGTTAATATTTTAGTTCATTTTCTGTGGCTAAAATAGAATACCTGAGACTAATTCATAAACTTGTGGCTCTGGTGGTGGGAAGTCCAAAGACATGGCACCAGCAAGGTCCTCATATTGCTCAAACTCATAGTGGAAAATAGGAGGTTAAGCAGAACACAAAGGGCAGACTTGCTGTACAGCAGCCTGTTTTTGGAATAACTAATCCAGTCCTAGAAGCCAGAAAACTCAACTATAAGTAGAAAGGTATTAAATTCTTCATAAAAAGCTCTACCCACACACCTCCCCTCAATCGTGCACCACCAAATGGGCAATCAGTAAGTATTACCATTATTGCAGATGATATGATCCTTTATGTAGAAGTCCCAAAAAAATTCTACCAATAGACTCCTAGAATTAGTAACCAAATTTAGCAGTGTAGCAGTATGTAAAATCACCAAATCAATAGCATTTTTGTACATGAATAATGGCCTCACCAAGAAAGAAATTAGGAAAACAATACCATTCACAGTAGCATTAAAAAAAAAATTTAGGAATTAACCTAACCTAGGAAGTGAAAGACCACTACAGTGAAACAACAGTACTTTGAAAAAGGAAATCAAGGAAAGAAATCCCCTGTTCCTGGATAGGCAGAACCAATATGGACAAAATAGCCACACTTCCAAAACTGATACATAGACTTAATGCACTCCCAATCAAAATGTCAACAGTATTCCTCATAGAAAATACAGAAAACAATTCTAAAATTCATATGGAATGAGGAGAGGCCCAGAATAGCAAAGGCAGTCCTAGGTAACAAAAGCAAAGCAGAAAACATCTTGATTCTGGATTTCAAATTATATTGCAAAGCTACAGTTATAAAAACAATATGATAATGGCACAAAAGCACATGTGGATCAAGGGAACAGAATAAAGGATGCAGAAACAACCCTAGGCATATTCAGCCATCTGATCTTTGTTAAAGGGGCCAAAAACATACCTCATTAATAAATTGTGCTGGGAATACTGTCTCTCCACATGCAGAAGATCAAATCTATACCCATATCTTTTAGCATATAGTAAACTAAAATCAAAATAGATCAAAGATCTAAATATTAAGACAAAAAAAGTTAACCTACAGGGAGATAAAATAGGTAAACCTGTTGACAAGTGTAGGCAAGGACTTTCTGAACAGAACTCCTATTATATAAGAAATAGCATCAAGAATCAAGAAATGGGATTATATGAAATTAAAAGGCTTCTGCACAGCAAAGGAAACAACCAACAGAGTGAAGAAACAATCTTCAGAATGGGAAAATAAATTTTCCAGCTATTCCTTGGACAGAGGACTAATATCTACAATATATAAAGAACTAAAAAAAAAAAAGACCCACAAAAATAAAAGACCCAATCAAAAAATAGGCAACTGAAATGCATAGACACTTCTCAGAAGAAACGCAAATGACCAGTAAATACATTTTTTAAATGTTCAACATCTCTGTCCATTAGAGAAATTAAATTAGGTCAACACTGAGATGCCATTTTACTCCAAAAAGACTATTATTAAAAAAAATCACCTTATAACATGCTGGTTGGGCTGTAGAGAAAAAGGAATGCCTCTGCATTGTTGCTGGGAATGTAAACTAGTATAACCACTATGAAAATCAGATGGAGCTTCCTCAAAAAACTGAAAACTAGAAATTCTGTTCAACCCAGCTGTTCTCCTAGTATCTTCCCAAAAATGTTAAAGGCATCATATACAGTGATACATACATATCCATGTTTATAGCAGCACATCTTACAATAGCTACATTTGAAAGTGGCCTATATGTTCATAAACAGAGGAATGGATAAAGAAAATCTGATATTCATACACAGTTGTATACTACTCTGCCATGCCATAAAGAGGGATAAACTTCAGTCATTTGTAGGAAAATGGATGCACCTTCAGACCATAGTGTTAAGGAAATAAAATCAGACGCAGAAGGTTAAAGATCACATGGTTTCTCTTATATGAGAAGCCCAAATTATAAATACTGTAAATTAAGGAGCAAAATAAAAGAGAATAGGAAACAGGGAGATAGATCTTTTGCAAATATGAAGAGGACCAAGAGATGGAGGGAGAGGGAAAGGGGACATAGAAACAATTTTGTGTTATGTACCAACTCCCCACAATGATTTTACGATCATTATGTACTGCAAACACATACTAAAAAGAGTAAATTTTTAAAATTTCAATATGAGTTCCAGAGGAGATATAGCAGTTAATATCACCATTGATCTCATTAGAAAAAAAAAATTTTAAGTATCAAAAAGCTGACATAGTGAGACAGATTTAAGTTTTGCTTGACAATTCAAATGTTATCATTGGTTACAAGTCCTGTCAGTGTTTCCTGTTCGGTGACAGACTTACTTCCTCCACATCCTGCCCATACCCAAGTCTGAATAGCGATCATTTCATAGTGAGTTCCTCCAATAAAAGTGATGTTCCCAAGCAAGCTTTGGTTCTGCTGACCACTCAGTCTCATGGAATTTCTCCTGGAAGGAGTGGTCATGGCTTTGTATGAAGCACAAACTTTTAACTACATACTGCTTTAACTAACTTCACTTTTACCAATTTATAAGACTTGCACTCAGGGTCAAGATTTAAGTACAATTAATTGCCTTTAATACTTGATCAACCATATTTTAAAATTAAACTAGCATTTTTAAAATGGCAAGAATATCACATTGAAGAGTATGATGACTGCTAGAACAGTTTGATGCTACAACCCAGACTCCAGCTAAGGAGCCAGTGGTACACCCACCATTGCCTTTTGTTGTAGTCAGGGTTTTGGTAAGGCAATACATTTACTACAGGACACATAGTTTATTGGATTACTTTATGATAATTACCCAAAAAGTCAAGTTCAAAGGAGTGCAAGAGATTAACTGCAAACTAGGGGCCTAAGGAATCTAGCCAAGGGTCAGGATCCCAGCAGTTTCCCACCCAAGTCCAGCTAAAGACTTAAGAGTCTAAGGCAATGTCTTCCACAAATCCAGCCAGTGGCCTAGAGCCCATGGCAGTATCTCATGCTTGTCTCTATTGAGGATCTGCACCTGGAAGGCCCAAAGGCCAGTGGTGGAAGTCAGAAAACCTACACCAGTGAGATGAACAGTTTGTGCCACAAAACTGAGGGATCCACATTGGAGCCAGGAAGGGATGCTCACAGCGAAGATCAGAGCTCCCCTGACAAAAACAGCAGCCATTCCCAGTGACAAGGCCCTGAGCTTCTCTGATGAGAACAACATAGTTTGCATCAGGAAAACCATCTGCAGCAAGCTTCTAGAAAAATCAACAAGATCTTCCCTGCCAGTTCTCTTTTTATGGCTATTAGTAGCAATCCTCAGGTGGATCCTCACTGATTCAGTTCAGCTGGGTGTTACAAGTTTACCATTAGTCAGTACAACACATGCTTGAATTGTCAGTGTACATATCAGTATGGTAAAAATGCAGGTAGCATGTTAGCAGTATTATGAAAGTAGTTTTGAACTTGGAGACCCCATGAAAGGAATTGGGAACCCTCAGGAATCCATCAACCACAGTTTGAAAATCTTTTGAGTTAACAACCTTAAGGAATAAATATATCTTAAAGTGCATAGAAAAATTTGGGTTTTGTTTTTTCTTTTTTGTTTTTTGTTTTTTTTTAGGTATCAGGGATTGAACTCAGGCCCTGTGCTTGCGAGACAGGCAGTGGAACCACTGAGCCAAATCCCCAGCCCCTAGTGTTTTCAGTTTTCATGTTTGCATGTTTTTTAAGTGTTTACAAATTCATCTTACTTGATCCTTAAACCAAATTAAACTTTATTTTGTAGATAAATCAATTTTAAATTTAGAAGTACTCAGAGTAATGAAACTAATTTAAAACTTTTTAATTCATACCTGCTCCTAATGCAGCTTACCTTTTATTCTCTACCTTTTCTGCCCTCTGCCCTTTTTGTGGATTAGTGAAGTTCTGTTTCTTAGTTTATTCCTGTTTCCATTTACCTGGAAGCTGCATGATAACCAGGCACACAAGTGGTGAGGCTAATCAGTTTTGTGTCCCTAAGGAAGAAAGATGGTTCAGGTCTCCACCAGGAAGCTTCGGTAGAATTCAGGAAGTCGAAAACTTTGGTTGGCTCAGTATAAAGTGTTTTCTAAGAGAAATTCACAGGGAAAAGGACACCAACCAAGCTCAGTACACGGATTGATGTCTTTAAAGCTTCCCCTCTTTTGGTGATATTTCTTCCTCTCCCATTAGGATTGTACCCCAAGTGAATTAACCCTCACCCTGGCCCTTTGGCAGCCACTAGATGCTGTGGCAAGTTCAACTTGAGAAAGACAGAATAAAGCAGAAATGCAGTTCAGGGTCACAGTTGACTTTGTATTAAGCCCTCTTTATTTCTCTTCTCAAGTTGCAGAAATGACTGTTAAAGTAACACATGGAATGTTTAGGTATTTCCTCCCCTACCTTTTAGACATGGTCAATTTTTAATTTAGTTAAAAATATATTTGTACATTCTTTTGAAATCTGACCTTTTTAAAAAATATAATCCTTATTTTAACATTTGTAAATACTGTATAACTCTTCTCTGTAATTATCCCAACTGATAACTTTATATTCAAAACAAATTTATTATTGCCTGGGCAACTTAGCAAGACATGGTCTCAAAAATACAATATAAAAAGGGCTGAGGATGTAACTGGTAGAATACTTGCATAATTTATGTGAGGCTCCACTGCCACAAAAAAGGAAAAAATGATACTAATTAGTTATGAAATTATTTTATATCTGTGTGACAGTTGGTTATAATAAAGTAGTTTTAGAGTAATGAAATATTTAAAATTTTGGTTGATCATGGAAGACTGGATTTAAGGTAGGAATCTAAAGACAGATTTGGGGAATCTGATTTGAAGAATATGAGAACGTTTACATCAAGGCTTTTCTTACCATTCATTAATCTAACAGAATGCAAGGTAAGCTATCGTGTTTTCTACTGAATGAATGAAAAGATTTAACTCTTAAAACCAAAGAAAGCTACATTTGCAGAAGAGAAACTGATGAGAGTTTTTCTGTCTACACTAGAAGAAGCAGAAGTGGGACATTGGCAAAACCATGCCTCTATTATGAAGCCTGGCTCCCTAAATCAGACTGATACCTTCATTTAGACAAAATTTATCTCCTACGACAAGTTAAAAAACACTAAACTTAAGTGGTCTGTATGTCTTAATCTTTTTCTTTTTTTGTACTGGGGATCAAACTCGGGTCCTTGCACTTGCAAGGCAGTAGGTGGAACCACTGAGGTAAATTCCAGGCTATTAATCTTTGACTGCCAAGCCTTACATATCTGGCTGCATCTGTTTTCACTCATCTGCATCTTCTTTGAACTTATCCCTTTTGTTTTCTTTTATTCTTTTATTATCTAAATTTAGAAACATTGTCTGAAAGCTCTGACACTTTTGGTATTTTTCTTCTTCTTGTGGATTTTTCTGTCTTCAGTCCTAGAGTGAGGACAGAGAGGTAGGTGTATGTTCTGGGCCTGGTCTGGGTGTGTTCATGGCTGTGTGATCATCAGGACTCCTGCTCTGTGACCTCAACTGGCTCTTCTTCAAATTGAATAGTTGGATCAGCCCTAGGCAATCGCTATCATCTTGGCAAGTTTCTGTGGCTTCCTGTGCTTTTCTACAACTTTGTTCTGCTGTTTCAGATAATGACTATACATACTGCTGAGGTAGATGGCATGCTGCTTGGAAGCCCAGTGCTCATGAGATTTTGGAAGATAGTGAGAATCAGTACGATATTCCATCCCCCTTTGGAGTTTCCTAAAATGGAACGAGGGGCTCTGAGTTAAGTTGAAAGGTAGTTTAGGTAGTAAGTCTTTTTACTTCTTCTTTTTATGTGTGCGTTTCTTAACTGCAAATGCTTGCATTCTGACTAAACTGATTTTTGGTTTTTTTTCAGGGAAAATTTCAGCCGCTAGATCAAGTTGTGATGGATGATGTGTTTCCAAATTGCATCTTGTTGCTGAAACTTCCTGAACTTGAGAAGTCACTTCGTCATGTAACGGAAGAAAAAGGTTTGTAATGTGGAACTTAAAAGTCAGGCTATAGTTGATAGAAAGGTTGAACCTTTACCTGAGAATGTAGCCACTTAAAGACTCCTGGCTATAAGGCTTTTTTTTTTTTCCTCTTTTTCTCTTTTTATTAGTACATATGGATACACATAATGATAACATTCACCATAGGGAATTTGTACCTGTACATGATATATCTTGCTGCTTCTTTTTATCCCATTCCCTTCCCCTCTCTTCAACCTCTCTTCCCTTCCTTATTTACAAAAGCTTTGTTTCCATTTTTTTTCCTCCTATTCTTTTTTTCTCCTATGTCCCTTCCTTCTTTTCCTCTTACCTCTCCTGTGTTCCCCTTCTCATTTGAACATTTTTTTCTCATTTCCTACTATTGATTTTACATTTTGATCCTTGTTTACATTTTCAGTTTCTTACATCAGAGAAACAATTTGGTATTTAAATATGTGTGTCTGATTTATTTCACTTAAGAATATTGTCTCGAGGTACATGTATTTAGCTAGAGATGTCTCAAGCTTGTCTTTCTTTCTGGCAGAGTATATTCCACTGTATTAAAAAAAAATCACATCATCTTTACCCATTCATTCATTCATGGGCATTGGACTTTTTCCAAGATTTAGCTATTATAAACAACTTCTATAAACATAGGTATGCATATATTGCTGGTATGATGTTATTAGTTCTTTCGGGAAGATATGCACCTCGAAGGGGAATAGCTGTGTCAAATAGAACCTCTAGTTTTATTGTTTTGAGGAATCTCTGTGCTGATTTCCATAGTGGTTGCACCGGTCTACACTCCCAACAGTGGAGAAGGGTTCCTTTTTCCCCATAGCCCCACCAGCATTTGTTGTTGGTTGATTTCTTGTTAATAGCCATTCTTTCTGGAGTGAGATGGACTCTCAGTGTTGTTTTAATTTGATTTCTTGAATGACTAGTGAAGTTGAACATTTTTCTATATATTTATTTACCATTTCTACTTATCTGAGAAGTGTATTCATTTCAGATGAATTCAATTTTGAATTGGGTCTTTAAATTTGGGAGTTTTTTTTTTTTTTAGTTCTTTCTGTATTCTAGATATTAGTTCTTTGTGTAAGTAAAACTTCACTGTTATTGATGCCTGAAGTATTTATTGAGCACCTACTGAGAAGCATATGTTGAGTATTAGCACTAAGCTTTGCGAACAGGTAAGGCATTGTCCCTTCCCTTACTTTGCTTTGAGTCTGATGGCAGCAAATGACAAGCAGGGTAAAAACAGGATGGTGTAATAGAAATAAATCTTGTATTTTCTGAGAATTTTCAGGAGCGATCTGGTAGAGAGCACAGGTAGGTGAGGATCTTTTGCTTGCTGATGGTAGAAACTACCTCTAAGAGAGCCTTAAAGAATGAGTCAAAGTAGAAGTAGGAAAAAGGCATGGACTTGTAGAAAAGATGGTTATGCATAGGAATTCCAAGGAATTCATTATAGTTGGAGAGTAGGATGCTGGAGAGGAATTTAGGCTGGTGAGTAAAGGGATAGAGGAAATAAGGGAAAAGAAAAAATATGAAAAAATATGAAAAAATGGAAACAAAGTCTTTGTAAAAAGGGAAGAGTGAAGGGGGTGAAGGGAGGGCAGGGGTATGGGGAAAAAACAAGAACCAAGATATATGATGTAAAGGTACAAGATCCCAATGATAAATGTAACTATTGTTTGCTTTAAATGTACCAATAAACTTAATGGGGGAAAAAGAAAGAGAGAGGGGGGGAGGGAGGGAGGGAGGGAAAAGAAAAGAAAAAGGAAAGAGGTAGAGAAAGAAAGAAAGGCAGGCTGACAGGCTGAGCAAGCAGATGGGAGGGGCCTTTTATGATCTAGGATTGACCTAATGGTGATAACATGTCTGTAAAGTTTTTATCAGGACATGGGGGAGTCCATTGGAGAAGCCAAGTCAGGTCTGTGGGGCATTGCACCAATCTAGATGGAAGATGATGAGAGCCTACACTTAGGAGATGGTGCTGACAGGAAGCAACAGTTCAGTGGTAAAACCAACCACATTAGTGACTATAGCAATCAAGAAAAAAAGAGGAGTCTAGAGTAGCTCCTGAGTTTGTACTTTGGTCCACGTGATGTCTTAGAGACAAGAAGCATGGGCTAGAGTAGCAGGCTAGGGGATGAGGTAAATTTCAGAAATTATTAATTTGAATTTTAAGAAAAGGAAGTGAGGCAGTGAGGGCGAATGTGATTTGGTAAGTCAGAAACACTGGACAAACTTAGCACCACTGTCTCCAAAATTCATCCAGGTAGTATCAGGATTAATCTTGAAACATAGTGTAGGGTTGAGAACAATAGACCAATAAGTTGTAGCTGTTTGGGGTCACAGATGGTTTGCTAACTATGACAGCTCTTCTGGGACAAAGAAAGTCATTATTCTAAGAAGTTTAAGCTTATGAGAACCTTGCTGGTTGCATTTCACACGTGTGAGAGGTCTATTAATTTTTGGCCACACTTGACACTCCAGATTGGATCTGAGAGATGTATCAGGTCAAGATTTTATCAAAACAGTCCCATTGAAGACATTTACTGATGCTGAGTTTGGCAAGAGAGCAAATGTTTTGTGAGGACAAATGAAATAACCCATAACCATTTTTGAAAGCTAAAATAATGAAGAATATACAGGAATTTTTAATTTTTTTCAACACAAAAATGCCGTTAATTTATTATCCAGTGTCCCACCTTTATAAAAACAGTCACCTTAAAGCAAAACCTAGAGACCCAGATTACTAAGCAGTTTTTTCACTTTAAATCCAGATCTGAGAGCAAGGGCGTCTCTCTCAGTCCTTCCTGATTGCACACCAAATGACAAGCCACTTGTGTCATTGTGTGAACTTCTGTCCTAGTCTCCTTTACCTTTCAAGATTGCCTTCTAGAACAGCTATGCTTCCCTTTTCAGTTTAGCCACATAATCTATCTATCTATCTAAAGTTTTGAAAATCCCAGGGCTCAAAGTTTTCTGTATGTTTAAATGATAGGAAGCCCAAGCAAAATACTACAGATTAAATGTCATGCAATATATGCAGTGCCCTAGAGGATTGACATTTTTTATAATGAGTAGTAGCCTATAAATTTAACATAATGGAAAGTTTAAAAGCAAAACTATATAATTTTAAGACATTGAGGAAGAAAATAATGTCTCATGCCTCTCTTCAAAAAGGCCTTTTCATCAAAATTTACATAAGCACTTTTATATTACTTACCTTGCTTCATCACTCAAAATGTAAATCCATGAAATACTTTTCTTTATATAAGGTCTCTGTTCAAGGACAGTACACTAAGATGGACATCATTTTTCTTGAAGATTCACAGGGAATTCCCAACATTCTGAGCTTTGCAATGATTAGTAGAGCCTGTCCAAAAAGATACAGAAAGTGTAGGATATGAGCTTCAATACAGCAGAATGACCATGCTTAATTTCCTGTTATTGTTATTATAACCTCCAACTCTGGAAATGAGGAAACAGAGGCTCAAAGAATTGCAGTAAATTGACTGACATCGCAGAATGTGAAGAAGTAGAACAAGGATTTGTACTTATGTTCATCAGGTTGGGGCCCTTGCCCTTTCTTCTTACAACAGTATGATATTTCCAAGATACTCTGCTAGAGTTTTTAGATAGTATCATATAAAAATAGAAATGTGTGATTTTAATTTAAATCGTATACTGTATCTCCTCTTAATAATTTCCCTTCAGGTAGCACAAAAGAGGGACAGGAAAGGAGTTATAATAGCTTAAGGAATGGACAGTTATCCCTACAAGGGCTTTCTTCAAGTTTTTAGTCATTGTGTATAATTTCCTACAGGTTATCTTTTGGTGATAGTGTTGAAGACTGGCTATTTATTTGAATTTAAATTATTGTCCATTTTTAAATTAATGTTTCCATTCTCTGTCACTTATTTCTAGATTTTTAAGTAAGAAAAATAAGGCAAGGAGAATAATCAAAGAAAGCTGAGTGTTTGGACTTCCATCCTTTTCACAAGTATTTGCACAGTTAGAGTAAAACCTGAAATACTCACATGTCTTTCTAGGTATTTTGATACTGTATTCCAGATGCATGCTGGAGCATCTGTAGCATTAGAGATCAGGTCAAGTCCACTGGGTTTATGAGAACTGACCACTCTGGCCTTCTACTGGAGAATAAGCCCAGCCAGTCACTAGAGCTCCAGACAATAATGGCCATGACCTTAGCCCTTCCTGTTTTATAAGAGCTAGAATGCTGTGTCTCTGTTTGCTAGCTTTGGGGTTCAGAGCACATTTCTTGTCAAAGAACCACATATTCAGAGGACTGATGAAGAAAGGTTCATGAACTTTGCCCTGACCGTAACACTCTGCTTCTTCATATTACAAGCCAAAACTGCACTTTTCTGTCTGATGCAATTAACAGGAAGAACCAGGAAAAGTTACCTGATTAAAATACTCCAAATGCACTTGCCAAGTTTCTATCCCCCGGAGATAGAGAAAAAAGAGACCATGTGACTTTCTTGGTTATGGGAAACCTTGAGAAAGACTGAAAATATGCTCTAGGCAGTTTGTTCAGCAATACATCAGGGAAATTCAAGTTTGTGCACTGATTACCCAATTGCTGAATATGTTATTTAATTGTGGACTTACTCTTACTCCATCTATATTTTGTAAACTCAATTTTTCCAGATGTTTGAGGCCAGTTTTATAGGCTCTAGACACATAAGGGAAAAAACCTTTCCAGCATATATTGTTGAACTCACTAATGCTCACAAATATTAAGTTTAGGACACACATGACATGCTATGGTATTTTTTAATAATTATGGGTGGTCTGTGGCATTCATTAATACTTTAAACCTCCTTGCTTTCTGAAATCTGTAAATTTTGAAATTAAGCTGCAGTTTATACATGGGGTCTTATGTAGCAGTGTGAGATATAGTGATCATCTTTGTAGGGACTCTGTAATATAGAAATAGATTTATAATTTTAAAACTTCCTAGAAAGAAAACTCCAGGCCCAGCTGGCTTCACTGATGAATTCTATTGTACTTTAAGGGAAGACATAATACTCACAGAACTAAGTTGTTGTCTTTCAGGAAATAGATGAGAGAGGAATTTTAAGAAATAAAAATTACCCCAATACCAAAACCAAAATTGTTGCAAAAAGTAAACTAGAACAATATCCATCATACACTGAAAAACCTTTTACAAAATATTTTTAAAATTAAATAGACACAAAGTAGCATTTGACAAAATTCAAACATGAAATAATTTCTTAGCAAAATAGGAATAGTAGGAATTCCTTTAACCTGGTAAAGGGTGCCTATGACAAATTTATATATCATTTTTAGTGTAAAAGACTGAATGTACTTTTCCCTAAGACAAATAAGGACAACAGCTCCTACTGCCTATATTTACCACTGTGGTGTAAATTCTAGCAGATTTTGTAAGACAAGATATAAAAGGCATACAGGTTAGAGAGTCAATAGTCATGTGCTGTTGTTTACTTGCTTGGAATTTTGGACGGTTTACTTAATGTCACTTAAACCCAGTCCTCTAAGATGTGGGCAGATAATGGTTTTTAACTTAGACTCATTCTGAGCTTGAATGAGAAATGTAAAAAGCCTAAATAAACATTAATTTCTGGTGCTATCATTAACATATATCACTGTCACTAATTCTTCTTAGCTTATATTAAATGTTTTCTATGTGACAGGCACTGTACTCTAGGATTTGTGTATGTTACATCATTTCAGACTCAAACCTCTGATGAAACCCTCCCTTCACGTGTGAGGAAAAGAGCTTTAAGAGTAAGGTGGTTTCCCTGGGGCACAGTGCATGTTGGGGTATGCATGAGCCCCAAAGTATGTTGTGTTCCTTACCTCTTATATGAGACTGTTTCCAATAGGAACAGGAAAGACCCACCCATAGAGCTTAGAAGATTGGGCACTAGAAAGGAAAAATGTCAGATGTTAGCTCTTTCTGAAAATTTGCAGGTAGAAGCCAGAGAGCAGTGAATAGGAAAGATTGGCAGGATTTCTTAGGAGAGACTTGAGCACTGAGTTTTTTGGGAGAGTCTTTGTCTCAGGTGGTGGATGGGACATCTAAAAGTCACCCAGCAATGTACATTTATTGAGTGCCCGCTGTGCTGTGTGCTCCTAAAATTGCCCTGATTTTGCATAGCGTGGGACATCATCTCCAGAGAAATTGAGTCCAGTTTTAGGGGATTTGCTTTTGTAAGTGGTCTGTTTTCCCAGGTAGTCCTAGCTCTAGGAGAGCAGAGATTCTCACACTTCTAGCAGAGTATAGCATGCAGCTATCCCTCCCTTCTTGTTATTCCAGTGACACATTCTGGAAATGGTGCAGAGGTCCAGCCTCACTCCATCCTGCCTAATCTTACCTACCATGTTGACAACCATAGGCTGAATGGGAGTGGAAAGCGTATAGAATAAGGTTGGGGACTTCCAGCCTCTTTCCCATATGTGCCACTTAGCAGAATGCAAGAAACTATCTTTGAATAAGCAATTTCCATTTCCCATGATATGGTGAGAGTAAAAGAGAGCATCACTTTGCATAGCTCACAGGTGGTGAGTTTGCATTGGCTTTAGGGTTTCCAGTGGTCATAAAGGAGGCCAGAGTGGGAGGGCTGCCCTTGCTAATAGCACAGGAAGAAGAAACTCTGTGAATGAGAAGTGTTGCCGAGGAAATCCTGGTTTAATGACATGGTATATAGAACTGGGTAGATTGTGAGGAAAGGAAGTATAATTTATATGAAATGGCCTTTTATCCCCACAAAGAGCCAGGTTGAGCCTACCATAATCTAAATTCCCCTGATGTATCTGTGATTATATTGGTAATATGTTAAAAGACAGACATATCTGTGCTTTTATATTACACTAATCCCACCAGGCCAGCACTGAGGAGTTAACAAGATTTCTCCCCTTGATTATGTACAGTGAATTTCATAGGCACCTGCTTTTAGTTTCATTTTTTTCCCTTGAGAATTTCATTGGAAACATTGGGGTAAGCTCAAAATTATTCAGAAAAATTGAGATTGTTCAGCATGTTAATTTGCTTAGTTTTTAAAATTACCTTTTCAACAGAGTAGTTTGTATAATTTGATTTTTTAACCTCTCTCATTTAGTAGTTGGAAGACTTGTACTCAAATTCTGGAGGAAATGTCTGTATGCTGTCTGGTTTATAATTTGAGCTTTTCAAGAATAAAAACTATTATGAATATTTTTAACTTATAAATTTGTATGTGATATAATCTTCTTAATTCTTTTTTAATTTACTATACTTTTTTTGTTTGTTTATTTTAACTTAATCCAGAAATAGACAACAAGAAATATTACAAGTACAGCAAAGAGAAGACATTAAAGTGGCTGGAAAAAAAGGTATGTATGGTACCTCTCTATTGCCATAAAAAAAGTTCATTTAAAAACTCATTTGTGGGGCAGGGAATTTAGCTCAGTGGTGCTGCCACCTGCCTTGCAAGCACAAGGTCCCAAGTCCGATCCCCAGTACCAAAAAAAAAAAAAAAAAAAAAAAAAAAAAAAGAAAAAGAAAAGAAAAGAAATCATTTGTGGATAAGGCAGTAAGACTGAATCCAGAAAATTATATAAAGAGATCCAAGATTGAAAAGAAACAAATACATGTTTTCTTTTGACCTGCATTGTCTTTTTTCTCTGGTTATACCAGTGGACAAAGGGATTTCATGCTGCTGAGTTAGTGTAGGATTGAGTCTACCAAGCCAGACAATACCAGGACATTACTGCTCTTAGCCCAACAGGTATCTCCTAGGGCAGTGTTGTTCACACAGTCAGGCAAGGGATGGAGAGAGTATGGTTTGTAGACTTAAAGGAAGTATATCTTAAGTGTGTAGATGCTGAAGAGGTGTCTCCTCCAAGCAAACCTTGTCTTTTGAGATTCTAAAAATTTTGAGTTTATATAAGGTCTCGAGCTTTATTTTTTAAATCAAGTTACTAGATCACTACCATTGTTTCTCTTGGAATGAAATGGGATAGATTGGAATAAGACAGGATAGAATGGATGAAAGTACAGCACAGAGTAAGTATAAATATTAAGGCTAGCTCTATGAAACATATATTGAGATATGTGTCTGAATATTGGTTTGCATTATATTTCTTAGTGTGAGTTGTGGTAAGCACTACCTTAGAAAACCTACTGGTTTGAAAATGTCATGTATTTTCACAGCCATTAAAACGTCTCACTAAACCAGATGAATGACAAAGTTTTTGTAAGATTAGTAGACACTAGTTATAACAGTTTCCTAAGATTCCCTTGGCTCTTTTTTATATAATGTTGCCAATATATTGGGAATCTGGAAACACAGAAATGAACTTTGTGAAATGAAACAGGCTCTTAATATGCAGAGTAGTGAAAAGATTTACAAAGGACCACCATATTCCCCTTACAGTAGTACTTAATAGTAGTGGTATTCTTTGTAGGTAAAAGTTCTGAACAAAACTGTGGCATTTCATTTTTGCTTTTAAGAAATGATAAGATTTGCAAAGCTAAGTTTATATTTACTGTGTTTCTCAGGAAGTAGGAATTTTTTTACTTAGAAATGATTGTATTTTTTGGGCTGGGGAATTAGCTCAGTGGTTCCGCCACCTGCCTCAGCAAGTGCAAGGACCCAATTTCGATCCCCGGTACCCCCCGAAAAAAATTATTGCATGTAAGCTTTGTGCCTGTTTCGTAAGGTAAGTACTGTTTTTATGCCCATTTGTCAGAGGTACAGAGAGGTTAAGTAAAGGGTCCATGGTTACAGAGCAGACCCAAGCAACCTGACTGTAGCCAGTGCTCTCAGTCACATTATTTCGCCTCTAATACCATGTAGGTCGCAGGAAGTCCTTGTGTTGAAATCATCTAAAACTTGTGTGGTCAAGCTATCTCATCTTTTGATTTCTGTTGAAGATATTCATAGGTTCTCACATACTTCTTAGATCTTAAATTGATGGAGGGCCATGGGAAAAATCACAGATTTCTTAAGTTAAATTGAAAATAGTCTGATTTACCCCTCCATGGTTACTTCCTAGGTTAATCAAACCGTGGGAGCATTAAAAGCCAATCATGTCAATGTGAGTGCCCGGGTACAGTCAGCTGCATTTCTCTCCACTGACCAGATTTCCAGTGACAAGGAAGGTAAGTGGTTTTGTCAGAAATAATTTTTGTCTGGGGATAAATTGCTTAGGTATAAATAAATGCCTGTCTGAGGATCCAAACCCTGTAATGGTACAGAAGCTTTATATTCTTGTCTATGTTCTCACAGATCTTGGGGGTGGTGTGCATCTTAATTCAGAATCAAGCAGTTTTTCTACTGTAGGTCACTTGTGTCAGTAATTGAAATTTGAATCATTCATCCAGCAAGTAGGTATTTCACACTAATCATACCTAAGACACCTGGCTGTCATTTACAGAGAGTGTATCAGGTGCCAGGCCCTTGGCCAAGCTGCAAGTATTCAGGTGTGATCTCTGACCATCTCAAGAATTCTCCTGAGAGTCAAAACTGGTGTCTGAAGTCACCCAGGTGTTCAGTGGCAAAACTGAGCTGATGCTGGAGCTTGTGTCACTCTAAAGCTCACGCTTTTTTTTTCACTTTCTTGTTGTGCTATTCTCTTGGCACAGGGTTTTCAGAAGGTGTATCTCCTTCATCTTATTCTCATGAAGCATATTTTCTAAAATAGCTCTCAGAATTGTGATTTTGATGAAACTGACTCAACTTTGGATTGGGTTGTGGTTAAGGTTTATTCCTCTTTCTTTTTCCAGTATAGTAGCCCCTTATTTTTAAATATATAGTTGAATAAAAAGTTACATAAGTCAACTAAAATAATCAAATGATGGGGCAGAAATTATTCTGACCTTTAGCTCCATTTCAGTGTTTGCTGTTCTGGATAAAAATAAGCATGATGAACAGTGCCTGTTTGTGATTGGTGGTAATTCAGGCAGTCTTTGATTTGAAGAAATCTATTTTATGACATCTTGCTTGTACACCTAGCTGACTCTTGCTGTTATGGGAGTGATGCACAGCACACTTGCCATACCAAGTTCACCAGTTGTCACTGTCTTTAACCCACATTAACAGAAGAGGAAGAATAAATGAGTCAAATAGGCAGATGAGCAGATGAATGACCCTATGGAGCTGTGGATTTTTTTGTTTGTTTGTTTTTTTAAGTAAGAAGAGATGTTAGAGTTTAAACAGATCTCATTTTAAAAATGATAAACTATGGTTTCAGAGAAATCCTGATGGTGAGCAAGATACTGTGCTCTAAGTCCAGTCCTTTCACCCAGACTCCACATGTTGTGTTCCAGGCTGGCTTGCACTGCTATTGAGTGTCCCAGCCACAAAGTAAGTTTACACACGTCATCAGAATTCCTTTCTTGGATCTCTGGTTTGGTGTGTTACCACAAGCAATTGGACTCTGTCTTGACCTTCTAAAAATAGTTTTATTTGTTGCTTCATGATTCACTGGACAATTCATGACCTAGAACCTTGGGCACATTTTAAGAAGGGCCCAACAATAACTTTGAGTTCTACATAATAGTGAAAATCTCCTACTTCAGATTTTTCAGATCAAGATAACAGACAATCCCCAGACAACAGTTATTTTCTAGGGCAGTACTGAGGTACATTGTTACCTTATCTTGAAAGCAGAACAAAAAGAAGAAAAGAAAGAGAATGAATGTCCCAGTACCATATTTGAGAGTTAGCTTTTGGAAGTTCGTAACCCCTTGTCATCCCATTTCATGGTTAAGCTTGATTGTCCCCCAAATTCTGCACACAATACTGGATTAAGGAACTGCATTTGGAAACAGATTTTATTGTCTTGTGTAACTGTTTAATTCATATCAGAACCACATTTTTGTACTGAGGGTCCAGAAGCTATAGAATTAATTATTGTCATTCCATTGAGTAAGTTATTTCCTATTTTTTTAAGAGACATTTTATTAGCTTGGAAATAGCTATAGTGTTTGAGATTTTTATAAAGCAAATACCAAATAGAAATACAACAATGATTTTATTGTTTCATTTTTATTTCTTATATGAGCATACTCATTATTATTGGATGATTAGATTTATTCTATATTGAAATAGCCTTACATTTGACATGGATATCTCATATTTTAATAGCTTATTTTATAATCTTGTCTATTTCAGGACCTTAGCTAAGAAAGCAACCATGGGTTTTTATTTTTACTGTCATTTGGTGGGTATCTAACATGCTATTATATCACATCTTTGGTATCATCCTGTACCCTGTCTTAGTGATCATATTTCTCCTTTGACAGATAAGATTATCTCCATTTTGTTAATGAGGGAGCTGAGACCAGAGCTTAAGTGGTTTCCTAAAGCCATATATAATGAGAACTTGAACTCAGGTCAATTTGACTATAAAACCACCATAATTATCACTAATTTTTTTTTTTTACTTTTTATTTTCTTTCTTTCAGAGGATTTTATTCATTATGCCCATGGTCTGATATCTGATTACATCCCTAAAGAATTAAGTGATGACTTAGCTAAATACTTAAAGTAAGTGTTATTCATGTTCAGGCCTGATTAACAAGTATCTTTGCACTTTTTGGTTTCTCCAGCAATAGAGTTTCTCTCTGACTTCTTATATTGTTGTTTGTTGTTTGTGTTGAGAGGTTATTCTTTTTTTTTTTTTTTTTTTTTTTTTTTTT